AAGAAAAATTTCTATGAAAATGTGAGATAGCATGCTACAGTTTGTTAGAACAGCTGTACTCTAAAGATACATGATTTTTCTGGGAGATTGATTTTTAAAAGCATGGTTGCTTAAATCTAAGTATGCTTTTATCAAGAAACTTTATTGAAGTATGATTGACAAACAAAAAGTTGTACACATTTGAAGGTTATAATTTGATGAACTTGGGGGTAAACACACCTGTGAAAGCTTCACTATAATCCATGCCGTAAACACAGCCATAACCTCCAAAAGTTCACTACTGATGTTTGTTTAATTATTATAATTTCTGAGATAAGAACACTTAACATAAGATCTACCCTCTGAGGATTTTTCGAAGCATACAATACAGCATTATTATTTCCAGGCTGTGTGTCTCACAGGAGACCTGTAGTAACTGCCCATCTTCCAGAACGGAACCTGCACCCTTGGATTACTCGCCCCCGTCTTCCCTTCTCTGAGGCCCTGGCACCCACCATTCTACTCTGTGCTTCTAGGAGCTCAGCTCCTTTAGATTCCTTGTGTAAGTGGTTCCACGCAGTATTTGTCTTTCTTCATCTGTGTTACCTCACTCAGCTTAATGCCCTCCAGATACCTCCATGCTGTCGCAAATAGCAGCATTTCCTTCTTTTTTAAGGCTGAGTAATATTCTGAAGTGCTCAGATTAAAAAACAAATGAGAGTATTAGACCAGTCGGCTGAGGGGTGCTTTGCCTCCCGAGGCCCCTGTGATTCCATGATGACCGAGGGTCCCTCTTCTGGCTGCGTGGCCAGGCTCAGGAAGGAGTGCGGGTCCTGTGGGAGGGCTGTGTGGGTGTGAGCGGCCTGAGTCCATTTTGCAGCTTGTGTGACACCGCCCTCTCCTGTCCCGCTCCAGGAGGTGGTTGGGGATTTGTCATCTCCCCAAAGAGAAGATTGAAACCTGCAGAAACCGAGTGCCTTATGACTACAGAGCTAAGATTATAGCCCAGAGGGTCCTCCGCTGGTGTGGGGTCTGCCCTGCCCTTCCTGCTGTCCTGGAGGGTGGGTCAGGGCAGGAATGCCCAGGTGGTGGCCTGAGGGGCTGGAATCACTGAAAACCATGCTCAGATCCTTGCTGCTTCTGTTCTTTGGGGGACCGGGGCACCTCTATGCAGAGACCCTTGGGCCAGGGTTTGTGGCTAGGATTTGGAAACATCATTCCCCCACCAAGAATCCCAGCATTTGAGCAGTATGCCTTCCAGCTTGAGGAAAGAGACTGTTGAGTCCAACTTCATTAGCTGATTTGTTATTTCACACAAGCCAGTGGCTTTGGTGTCAGTGGAGGACATTCAGTTGAGAGAGAAGGAAGTCCCATTCCTGGAGCAAGCAGATTCCGGGCAGTGGGAGTGGAGTCCCTGCATGCACTGCCAGGAACATCCTTCTACCGGAGCCAGAGGGCCACCTGGGTGGGGCCTGCAGATCCATCTGTGGGCTTCCTAAACCAAACGCTTGGTCGCTGTGCTGGGTTCTCCATTGCACGCCGCCTGTGCAGCAGTGCGCAAACCCTGAGTTGTGACCATTTAATGCAGAGCGGAAGTCCTGCTGTGGGCCTCTTGCAGAAGATTTGCTCAGAAAGCAGGGTGCTGTGGGTGTCCCTGAGGGGTCAGGAAGGGAGTGCAGGAGGCTGAGGGTCGGTGCACACCCAGGGTGTAGGAGACCTGGTGGCTGCAGACCCCATAGGCCCTGGGTCACCTGGGCCACAGTGACCCAAGATTGGAGGGCCACTGAAGGGTGCCCAGGAAGAGGTGCCAGTGTCCTCTGCAGGCAGGTGGATGGCCTTTGTGTTTGCAGCTCCAGGAACTGGTTGCCAGGTCTTTTCTAAGCAGGCTGGGCTACTGTTGGACTGGAAGATTCTTTCCTATGTCGAACTGAAACCCACCTCCCCAGTGCCTCTCCTCACTGCTCCTGGTGCTGCTGGTCAGAACTCCAGGTCAGCCTGAGTCACTGGCTCCCCGCTGGAGCCCCTGGTGGGCCAGGAGACAGCCACAGCCTGGGCTGCCCACCTGTGGTGGCAGGGTAGGCCCTGGGAGCTGAGCAGGAGCGAGGTCTTCAGGGGCGAGTGGTGCACGCAGTGGGCATGCAGGAGTTGTGTCGTTGGTGTGTAAGTGAAGACTTGTCCTTGGAATTCCACCCCTCATCCCTCTTGGTAAAGTCTGTCCCTTGTCATGCTCTTGGAAGGTGCCCTGTTCCTTTCCTCTGTGACACTGTCACCATCTGTAATTATACATGTATCATTGTTGGATTGTGCGATCCCACCCCCTCCCCACAATTTATATTCCAGGAGCTTAGGAACAATGTTCAGTTCCCACTAAATGTGTCAGTCTGGCATCACTTCTGAAACAGGAAGTGCTCCAGAAGCATTTACGGAATGAGTGAATGAGTGAATGAACACCTGGCTGAACTGTGGCTTGTAGAACGGGTTTGTGTGCTGCGCTAAGGGCCTTAGACTTGATTGTTTGGGCAGTGCAGCTGGAGGAGGGCCGAAAGCCCCATCTGGAGCCGAGTGGAGGCGAGTCTGTGCGTGGGCGCGAGGGCCCCGTCTTAGTTCTGGCCGTTATAGCAAGAACACCACAGGCTGGGAGGCTCACAGAACACACGAAATTTCTCATGGTTCTGGAGGCTGGGAAGTCCCAAATCAATGTACTGGAAGATCCAGTGTCTGGTGAGCACCCGCTTCCTAGGTCACAGACAGCTGTCTTCTCTCTGACCTCAGTTGGCGGAAGGTTCAAGGGAGCTCCCTGGGGCCCTTTTATAAGGGCATTGATCCCATTCATGAGGGCCCCGCTCCTGACCTAATCACCTTCCAAAGGTGCAAGTAGCCCAGTGGTTAAGTTCCAACATGTGAATTTTGGGGAGATGCAAACATTTACTCTGGGCAGGGAGGGACATACACACAGGGATGTGTGGGAAAGAGGCAGGGCACCATGTCACGTGCAGACTGAAAAAGCTGAGAGGCTGCCAGTGGGCGGCCTCCGGATGGGGAGAGGAGGAAGGAGACCCACTCTGGGGATGCAGACAGCAGCCGCTTTGCTGGTTCTGCAGTCTTTCCCTCCCTGGTCTCCATGGAAGGTGCCCCTTCTACCCGGCATCACTGCACACCCAGGCGGTGGCTGGCTTATGCGCAGTGTTGATTACAGTTTGAAATGCATGCGTCAGTCCCATGCTGCTACACACCACGGAAATTCTGTTTCGCTCTAATGAATTTTCAGTCAGAGTGCTGGAAAGAAGAAAGCCTTTTAATTAGGTTGGTAGTAACTGAGCTCCCAAACCACAGAAGCCTTTCTCTCAGAAGATGAAAACACAGATGCAATTAAAAGGGAAGGCCACCTAAATGGAACACTGGCTAATTTTAAACCCATTAAAAACAACTCCTTAATATGTTGAGGCAATGCTTATATGTCCTAACAGAGTTTACTGGGGCTTTCAAATAATATTGGGGATTAAACTGGAACCACAGTATTCGTGCAGTTCATATGGATGGCTCTGTTGGGGGACTGGTTGCTCCATACAGGGAAATGTTATTAGCTCCACAACTTTTTCCACCAAAATAACTGGCATGCTTCATTTTGGAAAATGGGATGCGTTTTTTCTGTATTGGCAGGGATATAGGCAGCTTCTGTATATTGGCAGCTTCTTCTGGAAACAGCTTAGGACCCTGCGAGGACATTGTCCCTTGTCCCCGAGCAGCCCTCTCCTCTCCTTGGGGTCCACACCTCACCTGCCCCCAAGTGTCCCCTCTTAGGAGTGTGAGTGGGTGGGGCACTGATGCATCAAGGAATCACTGCCAACTCCTTGCACATTTAACACAGTTTTATTATAGTGAGAAGCAGCATCCATTTTTCATTTGCATCCCTGCCCTCTGACCACGCCTCAGCAGATGCCATGCTCTTTCTGCTGTTGGGTCTGTCTTTGGGAGTGCCATCGGTGAGCCAGGCTGGGTAGTTCTTACTGGAGGAGCTCATGGTCTCCGCTTCTGGGCACATCTGCATTAGAAAATACATCCTCCTAGGGAGGGTGGCATTTGCTAATTTACAGAGTCCTTTAAGTGGGAACTGAGTAAGTGCCAAGCAGTATTCTAAGTAGTGCACAAAACCTGCTCCTTTTTCTTGGTGCACACATTCTTTTGCTAGGCTTTGTTGGGCTTGGCCAGCTGTGAGAAAATACTGGTTACATCTCAGGCTGCTGTTGACTAGAATCTTCTCTAGGTACCCTGTGCTGAGGCAAAACCACAGTTGACGCACTATCCCACTTCTGGTTAGAACATGGTCGTGGCACCCTGCCGGATCCCACACGTAGGCAGTTTGGAAATGTGGGAAAGGGGCTCTTGGGCCAGAAAGGTCCAAGTTAATAAATTCACCTCACCTCTCTGAGCCTAATTTTGCTCAGTGGGACAAGATTTACCTTGCAGGTGTGTATTAAGGGCTAGGGCTTCCTGGCAGACAGAGGATAAGAGTCAAGGCAAGCCAACCCACAGTGGTCAGGGAGAGGCATGACTGCCAACACCACTAGCAGATGGAAGGCACCTGGCAGGCCATGTGCCTTTCCCAGTGGATGGAAGCATAAGACATTTATGTTTGTTGAAAACTGTATATTCTGGTAATAAGATCGACTTTTAAAAATTGGAATTTGCACCCAGTTTTTTTTAACTATCTAAGTTATTTTTTAAATGCACAAAGAAATATAAGTGAAACTATTAGCAAGTGTCATCACTGAATGCAGGATTTTAATTCTCCTCTTTATACTTTTCCTTACTTTGTAAGTGCTCTGTAAGCAACGTGTATTACTTCAGAATGAATAGAAAAGTTCAACTTGGAGATGCTGCCTGAAGTGTATTTGGAAGTGTGTGGTGCATTCTAATTTCCCATACTCCACTTGTTCCAACAACCAGATTCCTTTAAGAATAATGGGATCATTCCCTGTTTTGTAAACCATATTTATGATTCTTCTTTTTCTTTTTTAAAGGATGAGAAGAACCAAGTTTTAACTACAAACATTTGGCTGCAAATGGTAAGTTGAAGCAGTGGTGGTCCTCACCCATGCATTTTCCTGCTCCTGCTTCCCAGGTTTTTGTGATCGAATTGCAGGGAAGCAGAGGTCCCATGAGAAAAGCTAGGGCTGTCTTCCCTGATGCCACATGTGACAACAGTGAAGTAAAATGCCCTCCCTCTGGATGTATCACACTTCATTCTGCAGAGTTCAGCATATGCTTGTATTTTGCCACAGAGTGATAGGAGGAAATTTTAAAACCACTTCATGTAGGGCAAGTAATAAGATGTAGATCTGCACTTAGATATCCTTAACCTGCATCATGCCTGGTCCTTGGGCTCAGGAGTGCCTGCCTGCCTTGCTCTCGTGCCCCCCAAGCGTACATCTTTAATACTAGAGTGTTGCCTAAGCCAGAGGTTTTCACACTTCAACCTCTAGTAATCCCTGCAAGAAGTTTGATATGCTGTATTCCATTCATGGATTTTTAGGTTTAAATATAAAATTCTAACCTAAATATAATTAAATGCAAATGATGTCATTTCCATTGAATTGAAAATATAGACACTTAAAAATAAATCTATTAGTCTCTATTTTAAGTGGAAACTAAATACCGTAATAATTTGATGCCCAGATCATTCATTTAAAAAATATACAGACAAGCGCTGTTCTGTTTGATATGTTACATTGTCCCTTCTCCTCTTTGCACTTGCATTTCTATTCCACTTTTCATGTAGGATTTATCCTAATGTAATACAATTTTACGTTTGGAAGTCTTTTATAATTGCCTCTGTCTTGGTTCTCTCAAATGTAAATATTTACATAAAAATAATTGCTTCAGATAATAAATGTTAATTTTCTTCTGGATTGATTTAGAATTACAATGATTTTTGGCACATAATTCATCAAGGTGACATTAATTACAAATTTTAATAAATGATTATTAAACAAAAAATTGGAAATGCATGTCTCTAATGCAGCTTTGATTTGAATTAATTTATGTATTCGTAGGTGACTATTTTTCATTACTAGAAATGAGACACTAATGTAGACTTCACCATCAATTTTGTAACTTTTTAAAATAGATGTGGTAATGTATCATTCATAATGAAAGGCATTTTGTGACAGCAGTGTTATTCAACTCCTTGGACTTCTTCCAGATTACTTGACAAATAAAATACAATTTTCATTAGGAGGTTTCAGCTAACAACTTACTCATTTCTCCTTCAGTTTGGTTGAAAGCAAAGAAAGGAATTAGAACCCGCTTGATCTTTGAAAGTGTTTGTCACACAATTTTTTAAAATTAAGGTATCATTGATGTACACTCTTATGAAGGTTTCACATGAAAAACAATGTGGTTACTACATTCACCCATATTATCAAATCTGCCCCCACACCCCATTGCAGTCACTGTCCATCAGTGTAGTAAGATGCCACACAGTCACTACTTGTCTTCTCTGTGCTACACTGTCTTCCCCGTGACCAACTGCACATGCACCATGTGAACTAATCTAATACCCCCCGATCTCCTTCTCCTCCCTCCCGACTTGCCCTCCCACACTCCTTCCCTTTGGTAACCACTAGTCCCTTTTTGGAGTCTCTGAGTCTCTACTGTTTTGTTCCTTCAGTTTTGCTTCGTTGTTATACCCAACAAATGAGGGAAATTATTTGGTATTTGTCTTTCTCTGCTTGACTTATTTCATTGAGCATAATACCCTCTAGTTCCATCCATGTTGTTGCAAATGGTAGGATTTGTTTTCTTCTTATGGCTGAATAATATTCCATTGTGTATATGTCCCACATCTTCTTTATCCATTCCTCTACTGATGGACACTTAGGTTGCTTCCATTTCTTGGCTATTGTAAATAGTGCTGTAATAAACATAGGGGTGCATCTGTCCTTTTCAAACTGGGCTCCTGCATTCTTAGGGTAAATTCCTAGGAGTGGAATTCCTGGGTCAAATGGCATTTCTACTTTTAGTTTTTTGAGGAACCTCCATATTACATTCCCACCAGCAGTGTAGGAGGGTTCTCCTTTCTCCGCATCCTCACCAGCATTTGTTGTTCCTTGTCTTTTGAATGTTGGCCACCCTAGCAGGTGTGAGGTGTTATCTCTTGTGTTTTTAATTTACATTTCCCCATTTCCCTGATAATTAGCAATGTGGAGCATCTTTTCATGTGCCTGTTGGCCATCTGAATTGTCTCTTCATATCCTCTGCCCATTTTTTAATCAGGTTATTTGCTTTTTGGGTGTTGAGGTATGTGGGCTCTTTATATATTTTGGATGTGAACCGCTTATTGAATATATCATTTACAAATATATTCTCCCATGCTGTAGGATGCCTTTTTATTCTGCTGATGGTGTCCTTTGCTGTACAAAAGCTTTTTAGTTTGATGTAATCCCATTTGTTCATTTTTGCTTTTGTGTTTGTTGCCCAATTTTTAATGTAATTCATGTAGACGCTGTATTTTGAAATGACTCTTTGTTTGCTTCTTGGGTCCAGGTCCCAAAACAGGAGTGAGGCAGGAGTGGCAGAATAAAACATGGGGCACAGGATACTCCCAGCAGGCTCTGGGGCAGTGGGTTTTAGTGATGATACATGTGGTAGTTGAGGGCTAGACAACAGATTCACTGAAAGCACCTGCCCCGTGCCTCAGGGGTGCCCTTAGCTGAGAGTGTGAGCCCTTGTGGAACCTACTTGGATAAAGCAGAACCTTTGAGAGTTTCCCCTGCAGGACTTAGAGCAACATGGCCCACCCTCACCCCTGAGCCCACCTGCTCTAGCTTCCTTCCTTTGGCCACGGGCTCAGGATCTGTGCTCCCCTCAGAGACAGTCCCCACCAGTGGGCAAGGTTTCCTGTCCTGGCACCTGCTGGGACCCCTGCTTTCGAATTCAAGGTTATTTCTAGTTTCCAGCAGCTAAACAGTGTCAGCGGGCTGTTCTTGTTAGTGTGCAACCATGTGTGCTGCCCTGAACCCTCCCCAGTGACACCCTGCTTACTCCTCCCCTTTATAGCAGTGTTCCTCCAAGCAGTGTCCCGCCCTGTCCCCATTCCCACCCTTGCATCCTCAGTTTTACACCCTCATCCGGCTTTGGGTGAGCACTTTAACCCCCAGGTTGCTAAATGCTATGAGTAATGATTTTTCCCAATCATTGTAATGAAAATTGTCAAACATACCAAAAAGTTGAATTTACAGTGAGCATCCATTATCCCTGCCTCTTAGATTCTGTAAGTGGCATTTTACAATTCTTGCTTTATCTCATATCTGGCCATCTCACCTTCATCCATTGATCTAGCTTATTTTTTAATAAGTTCAAAATACAAGAGCCCACACCGGTGTTCTTCTGCGCACATGCTTCCAGTAGCCTTTGCCTAGGATTCATGCGGGCTGCTTTTCTTTCCAGATAAAATCCACAGGTGACCCACTGCAGAAATCGTAAATGTACCAGTCAGTGAATTGCCAGGAGTGCCCTGCAGCTCTGCAGCCCCTCCCCTACTGTGAAGCAGAGCTTTTCCAGGCGATACTTTGTGCCCTGAGCTGCTACCCTCCCATCCCTGCCCCTCCCCCTCCCTCCTCTCCCCCCACCTGGAGTAGAAAACCATTGCTCTTGTTTTTTCTGGGGTTGATTTTTCCCTCTCTGTGGGCCTCTCAGGAGCCTTTGGTAGAGCTGATTGTCCCCCGTTCCTTGCAGCCTTCACCTTGCATCTGGGTACCTCTCCTCAGGCTCCTCCTAACTCCTTAGTGACTCCTGAGTCCCTTCTGCCACCTCTTCATCTCTTTCCAGCCATCTGTTGTCCCAGGAGTTGGAAGACCCAGTATCCTGGCTTCGGGCACCGTTAAGTTATCAGCACTCACCCCACTGCCTCCCCAGTGTCTCTACGTGGGTGCCCAATAGGCTCCTAAACCCAGTGGGATCCAGACCATTCCGTCCTCTCCTTGTCACCCTTGACCCCTCCATAGCCTCCTCCAGCTGGATATTTGGCCACTCCGTGAGTCCATTTGCTCAGATCCACAGCCTCAGGCGCACACTCTGCCCTTGTCTTTCACACCCACATCTGTTCTAGCAGCAAATGAGCAGCTCTGCCCTCGAATAGATCCAGATTCAAACCAACTGCACACCAACCCCACTGCTTCCACCCTGGTCTAAACCAGCATCACCTCTCATCTGGGCTACTACAGAGCCTCCTCACCAGACTTCCTGTTGGAGCCCTCGTCTCCCCTCACTGTGTCTGTTCTCTGCGTAGCGGTCAGTGTGATCCTAGCAGGATAAGATGAAGGTGCAGGCCGAGCCTCCTTAGCCCAGATCCCACCAGGGGCTCCTGAGACACTCAGCAGTGATCGGAAGAAGCCCTTGAGGTGGCCTTTGACTCCCTGCCTGCCTGGCCCCTGCTTGCTTCCCAACCCCTCCAGGCCACTCCGCCTTGCTTGGCCCCCTGCCCGTGTGATGTCCCACACACATCACCCAAGCCCATGCCCACCTCAGGCCTTTTACTTGCTCACCCTGCCTGGAAGGCTCTTTCCCCAAGAGTCACTCGATTTTCTCCCTCTCTTATTACTGTTCTCTTCCTAGAACTCGTCTTTTCAGCGAGGTCTTCCTGAGTTCCTAGGTCCTATCCCGTACCTTCCTTCAGTTCCCCAGTCCGTGCTGTTCTCTTTACCTTGTCTCTTGTCTCTGAGTCTGCTATAGCAAAAATGCCATAAACTGGGTGGCTTGTCAACAACAAATCTATTTCTCACGGCTCTGAAGGCTAGAAGTCCAAGGCCCTGGTGTTGTCATGGTTGGGTTTGTTGAGGGCCCTCTCCTGGCTTGCAGACAGCCGCCTTTTCTTGTGTCCTCATGTGGTGGAAAGAGAGTGAGTGAGTTCTCTGGTTTCTTCTTAATCAGGGTACTAATCCCTTTCAGGAGGGCCCCACCTTCATGACCTACTCCATTTCCAAAGGACCCACCTCCAAATCCATCACATGGGATGTGGGGCTGTAACATAGGAAGTTCGGGGGACACCACATGCAGCCCATGACTC